TTTCTAATTTATCCCTTTTCCTCCTTTTCCCTTTGGTAACTGAAAGTTTGTGTCTGTTTCTGTTTTGTAAGTATGTTCACGTGGATCATTTTTTTTTAGATTCCACATATAAGTGATATCATATGAAATTTGTCTTTCTCTGTCTGACTTATCTCACTTAGTATGATAATCTCTAGGTCCATCCTTGTTGCTGCAAATGGCACTATTTCATTTTTATGGCTGAGTAGTATTCCATTGTAGGTAGGTAGATAGATAGATATAGATATAGATATAGATATAGATACAGATATATAGATATATATGTATCACATCTTCTTTATCCATTTATCTGTCAAGGAGCATTTAGGTTGCCTTCATGTCTTGGCTATTATAACTAGTGCTGCTAAGTACATTGGGGTGCACATACCTTTTCGAATTAGTTTTTGTCATTTTTTTGGATATATGCCCAGGAGTGGGATTGCTGGATCACACGGTAATTTTATTTTCAGTTGTTTAGGGAACCTCCATACTGTTCTCCATAGTGGCCACACCAATTTCCATTCCCACCAACAAGTGTAGGAAGGTTCCCTTTTCTTTACATTCTCTCCAGCATTTATTATTTGTAGACGTTTTGATGGCAGCCATTCTGATTGATGTGAGGTGATACCTCATTGTAGTTTTGATTCGCATTTCTCTAATAATTAATGATGATCAGTATCTTCCCATGTGTCTATTGGCCATCTGTGTGTCTTCTTTGGAGAGATGTCTATTTAGGTGTTCTGCCCATTTTTTAAATTGGATTGTTTGGGTTTTTTTTTATATTGAGCAGTATAAGCTGTTTATATAATTTGGAAGTTAATTCCTTGTTGGTCGCATCATTTGCAAATATTTTCTCCCATTCCGTAGGTTGTCTTTTCATTTTCATTATGGTTTCTTTTGCTGTGCAAAAGCTTTTAAATTTAATTAAGTCTACCTTGTTTATTTTTGCTTTTCTCTCCATTACTCTAGGAGACTGATCCAAAAGAATATTGCTGTGATTTATGTCAAGGAGTGTTCAGCTTATGTTTTTTTCCTCTAGGAGTTTTAAAGTATCTGGTCTTACATTTAGGTCTTTAATCCATTTGAGTTTATTTTTTTACATATTGTTAGAGAATGTTCTAATTTCAGTCTTTTACACGAAGTTGTCCACTTTTCCCAGCACCACTTATTGAAAAGATTGTCTTTTCTCCATTGTATACCCTTGCCTCCACTGTCATAGATTAAGTGACCATAAGTGCAAGGGTTTATTTCTGGGCTCTCTAGTCTGTTCCATTGATCTATGTGTCTGTTTTTTGTGCTGGTACTGTACTGTTTTGATTACTGTAGCTTTGCAGTACAGTCTGAAGTCAAGG